GAATTCGTCACCAATAAATTCCAAACTTATTAGACGATGTCATTTCATTTTCTTATTTATTTGGTGACAAATATATTTTTTGTCCAGGAAGGATAAGTTATGGGAGACAAAAATATTTCGTCACCAATAAACTCTTCATGCTCATTTTATCTTTCTGTTAATTAGGCGACAAATATATTTTTGTCTCGGAAGGATATGTTTTGGGAGACGAAAATATTTCGTCACTAATAAATTCTAATTGATTGCGTGACAAATATATTTTTCATCTCATAAAGTTAAGTTGTGGAAGACAAAAATATTTCATCACCAATAATAAATTCTTTATGCAAACAAATTGTTTTTGTATTTTTGTTGATTAGCCAACGAACATATGAGTTTAAGATGAAAATATTTTATCAGTAATTATTTCTCTTTATTAAAATATCATCAGAAACTAAGAGACACTCTCACCTTAATCACTTACTTTCACACACACACAAATACTAAAGTCATGACCCAAAAAGACACCCTCTACAAACCCTCATTTCTCTCTCACACTTGAGAGTCTCCTCTTTCACAAGTATTGAAGCCGTGACTCGAGAAAACAATCTCTATAAAACCATACTCTTCTATTTCGCACTGAAGCTCCTCTATTCTCTCTCACATTTAAGCCGTTTGCGCATGCAAACATTATTATCTAAGAAGAATTTTGTGCAAAGCTACTATTCTTTCTCACAGTAAACCCCACTCCACAAAAGAAAATAATAATAATAATAATAATAAACAAGGAAACAAAATACAAGAAATCTAGGCTATTGTGAACAAATTTGGTGACGAAAATTTTTTTTGTCTTAAAATTTAACCTAAAGATGACAAAATATTAATTTTTTTGTTTGTTTTAATTTTTTCAAACGTATAGGAGACGAAAAAAATTTTGTCTGCAAAATTCAGCCGCCAATTTCGTTTGTATTGGTGCGAATTATTTAGCTCATTGGAGACGAACATTTTTGTCACAATATATATATATATATATATATTGCAAACGAAGTAATTCGGTCACCAATAAATTCCCTACCTATTAAACGATGTCGTTGCATATTTCCATTTATTAGGCGACAGATTATATTTTTGTCTAGGAATGATAAGTTATGGAAGACGAAAATATTTCGTCACCAATAAACACTCCATCATGCAAACGATGGCGTTTCATCTTTCTATGAAATGGACGACAAATATATTTTTGTCTTGGAAGAATAAGTTTGTGGAGATGAAAAATTTTCGTCACTAATAAATTCTGATTGATTGCGCGACGAATATATTTTT